AACCAGATATGATCAATCAGATTTGAGTTATGACCGATCAGAATTATTTTAATCGATTAAAACGCGTTTCAATCGATTAAAACAACTTGGAAAATTTGTACTAAACGTTTCAATCGATTAAAACGTATTTTTATCAGTTAAAATCACTTGAAAAAGTTTATAAAAATGTTTTGCAGTATTTTAATCGATTGAAAATCGAAACAATCGATTAAAACAGATTAGAAGATTTTTTGAAAAGATTTTTAATTGATATAAACGTTGTCGTATCAGTTAAAACAAATCTGGAAAATAATCAAGAATGTTTTAATGGATTAAAAGAAGATTTAACAGATTAAAACAAGACTTTTAACAGATTAAAAGATTATTTTAACAGATTAATTAAACCAGTAGTTTTGAAAATCTTCTATATAAACAAAATGGTTTAACTTTTTGATATATATCTTTTACACAACTTTTAGCAATCAATCAGGCAATCAAAAGTGCTACTTTCAAGAAAGAATCACGTTTGTTTTTGTGAAGTTCATCAAAGTTCTTTCTTGAGGCAAAATTGCATTTCTTTGGAGAAGAAACACATATTGCAGAACTGCATAAAACTGGTTTGAGCGTTCTTAGTTTCTTCTGTTTGTTTCTTTACTTTCTTTTACTATATTGTGGGTGCTTGGAATTGTGGGCATTGGTTTCTGTAGCTGGAATTTGGCTGCAGGGTAGTTCAAGAACTGGAATTTGGTTCTTGATGAAAGGTTAGGTGCAGGAACTGAAATTGTGGTGCTTGTGTTGGATTGAGTGTAAGGTTAAGGTTGTAATCTGTAAAACATTCAATCTAGTGGAACCCAGCTGGAATTTGGCTGGAGACTGGACGTAGCCCTGGGATTGGGTGAACCAGTATAAACATTGGTGATATCTTTCTAAACCTTTCTCTTCTTTAATTTTGTGATTGCATTTATTTTTTATTGCTTGCTGTGTATGATTCAAGAATTGATCAGATTTCTTAATCTTTGAAATTGATAATTTGTTAATTGCGAAAATCTTTCAAAGATCAATTCACCCCCCCCCCCCTCTTGATCTCAGCCTACATTTCTAACACACAAGATCTCATACACCATTATGTGTCATTGATTTAAGCTCATCTTCATAGCATCTAACCATTTATCAAAATTATCATCATTAATGGCTTCTGAAAATGAAATTGGGTCATTATTAATACTTAAGTCATTTTCTGACTCTTGTAGATAAACCACATAATCATTCGAAATAGAAAACTTTCTTTCTCTGTGAGATCTTCTTAATACTATTTCTTGTGATTGTTCTATTATCGGCTCATTATTAATCTCGAGATCATTATTTTGTTGTTCTTCTTTATTGTCGTGTGGTTCTACAACATGTGGAACAATAACTCTTGAAAAAGATGTACTATACAGGAACTTGTACTCTAACTTCCTTAATCTTTGAAGCTTCACTCCCATTGGTTTCACCATTTTTAATTAACCGAACATTTCCAGTTTCAACAATCCTTGTACTATGGTAGGACAGTAAAACATATACCCTTTTGATTTTTTTGGATAACCAATGAAATATCCACTAATTGTTCTTGCATCCAGTTTCTTTTCTTATGGATTGTAAATTCTTACTTCTGCCTGACAACGACAAATATTAGGATATCAAACTTACATATCACTGCTTTTTTTTCAATACTCATAACCATACATATGCAACATTGCAATCAAAACACTCAGTTGAATCGAATATCACCATTCCATTAATTTCAATCACAGTTTCATTCATGTGATAGGGAAAACATTTCAGTGCATTCCCTTGACAATTAAATTGGATTTGAAGACATAACCAATGCAATGACCACACACAGCGGAAAAACCATATAACCAATTCATAAATTTATCATACGCAACGAAAAATGTAAAATCCCTAAAACTTATAATTAGGGTTCGTAAACAAATTTAGAGATAAATTAGGATTCATGCTAATTTGATAGAAAAATCCCTAAATTTATAATTAGGGTTTATCTTAATTTGGGAAAAACATAATTTGAGAAACATTATCATAAGAGGAGAATCATAAATCTAATAACAATGACTCTGATACCACATGTAAAGCATTATGTAGTTTTCTTACGTTCCTCATTCATTCCAGAAAACTATTCTACAGGATCTCTAGATTCATGATTCTCACATAATAACATAAATTATAATAAGGAGACTAACCTTGATCTATGAGAGATATCCAATGAGAATGCATTCTTCAATGTCTTTGTTCTCTAACATCTTTTTCTCAATCTATCTCTTTTTCTTTTCTTTCTCTTGTCACACTTTTCTTATGATTTACTATGAGAAGAACCTTATATCTAGAGACAAAACCCTAATCGCCTTTTATTAACCAAAGTCCATCAAGTTGGTTATCGTAAATTTTTATTTTATTTTATAATGACTTCCCATAATAACCAATAGGTTCTTATATTTTATTAAATTACATTTGGATCCATCATTATATTTCACATAAAAGAATGAATTAATTAAATTAATTCTAACAAACAAATCCATAAACAAAATCTCCACAAGTTTAGTTGTTGAAATTATATTTTTGGTTTTGAAAGAGACTTTCACTTGCTTACCATTTTGAGAGGTTTTACATATTTTTTAATTCTCAAACATGAGCTTAGTATGACAAACAATCAACTCCTTTTTCACAAGTTTACCTAAATGATGCATATGAATATGAGTTGTTCTTCTATGCCATAACCAAGAATCTTCTCCCTTAATTATGAGCTAGGTAAGATCAAATTTAGATGAATGCTCAAGACTAATCATGTAAATATTTTCAATGTATTTTCCTATTACATTGTTTGATATGCTATCACAAATAAGGCAATGTTCACAATCAAATGTTACATTTAGCCTTTTATCATACAATTGGCTAATGTTTAAGAGATTATGCTCTAAGCCTATCACATATAAAATGTTTGTAATGAAAATGAATGATAACGTATTCTCTGAATTAAAAATAAAGAGATGAATTAGCTTTGATCTCTAGTCGTATGCCTAAACCAACCATTATCAAGGTACCACATATTTCTTTGACTTAGGTATACTTGTAAAATAGTTTTAGACAAAAGATTTTGGTCCCCAATTCCATTTGGGTCCAATTTTGTTAAATACCTTGCAACTTTCATACATATCTACCGTTAGATGTTCCATACTTTCTAATATTACATGATTTGGCAAATAATGACATGTTACAAATGGAATGCTGCAAGTTTTGATGTAATTTTTTTTTTTTAATATTTCTATTATATTAAAACCAATATCTAATCCAACTTTATGCATAATAGCTGTGACCAAGAATTACATAGGGGTAATAGTTTGCCTTACGAGTGACTTGTGATCTTGTAGGGGTGCAAATAATATATTTATTGTGTTACTTACACTTGTATAAACCAAGAAAATTATAATGGATGAACTTAAAAATATGTTAGATAACTTGATATGACTTTCGTAGTAGAATAAACCTAAATAAATCTCATGTCATATTTTTTTCTTCTTCTTTTCTTTATCTTAGTAGAATAAACCTAAATAAATAAATCTCATGTGTTATTCTTTTCTTTTTCATTATGTTGAATTGTATTACGACATTAAATTGAAATGTATTATGTTGTTATCTTTATTTTTTTATTTTTTTTAAATCTTGCATAACTTAATTCATCTCTTTTAGTTAATCAATCTTGAACTATGATATTTATCACTTTTAAAAAAGTCAACTGAATTTCAATTTTAAATATAAGTCATAATCTTATATATTTTATAGTTTAAAAATAATTTCTTTAAATTTATATAAGAGTTTCTCTACAACATGAAATACACATTAAAACTCTTATTTATAGTTCTCAATATTTACTTTATACTCAAATATTTATTTATAACTTTGCATTAGAATACCCTTTCATAAGTTGGGTTTCACTTAATTTTCCATCATACCATCTTCATATAAAGTTATTTTCTTTTTAATCAACAATACAATATATAATTCATAAATATTCCACCTTATCAATTACTCATTTAAAGATGCTCTAAAAATGAGTAAAAAAAAATAAAAAATATTAGAACCTAACCAAATTTGGAATTTGTCTCCTCAATTCCTTTTTATACAAATTTTGTTTTTTAAATTTAGCTATTCATAATTTTATTTAATGTTGCTTGACTATATTATTATATATTTTTTGGGTTAAATAACTTTTTCCTTACTTATTTTTATTTAATCCTTAAATATTAACAAATAAATAAAAATAAATAATTTTAAATAAGAGTTTTCATATTTTATTATACTCATCGTTTATTTCATTTGTTTATAGATTATTGTCCGATGCAATTCAATCTTTGGATATATATATATATATATATATATATATATATATATATATATATATATATATATATATATATATATATATATATATATAAAATAAATTTTATTTTAAAAATAACATAAAAACTCAATTTTAATTTATTTTAATTTTAAAACTAAATCAAAAAAATTATACACTTAAAAAAAAACATTTTACGTATATTGTACATTAAACACAAAGTTAAATTTAAAAAAAGAATACATGACATTCATTGATTTTTTATTTTTGTAGTCTTGATGTTGAATTTTTGTAAAAATTATGAATAATTAGAACCTAAAAGAACAGAAATAAAAAAAATTAATATTGTATCACTCCAAAATAAAGTTATAATTAAATCAAATAAAAAAAAATAAACATTGCATTAAAAAAAATGAACAATAATTTAAGTCTTTGTAAAATATTAAATTCATAAAAAGTATAACACAAAAATAAAATTAGAAATAAAAAATAAATACATCTTCCACCGCTCTCAGCTTCGCTATTTTCAATCAGAACAAGCATTGAAGTGCAGTGAATGAGACGTAGTTATAGTTGCACACATTATCATGACATCACCGTCGATCTAATCCAATTAATTAACCAGTTTCTATGCATCTCCGTTGTTGCCGTTATGGTTAAACACCGTGCACTGCACCTCCGGCCTAGACACCTCCCTGCCAGCGCTCGCCGGACACGTCATCACAACCGCGGCCGGCGGCACCATGCAGTTGTACGACACGCACAACGACGCCGTATCGGGCAGCACCGCCCCTTCCCGCAGCGGAATCCCAGTGAGGTAGTTATGCTGCAGGTACAGCAATTTGGTGCTGCCGCGCCACACGTTCTTCACGTACACCTCCGGAACCTCTCCCGCGAAACGGTTATCGTTCAGGAACAAACTCTCCACTCCCTCCAAAACATTCGAAAGTGTTCCACTAAGAGAATTATGACTCAGATCGACTATAGATCCGGGTCCTGTTATCGGGCCCGACCCGGGACCAAGCCCACCAGAGAGATTGTTCCGTTGTAAGAAAATGTTTGAGAGAGCGGGGAGGGAGAGCAATTGGACTGGGATGGGCCCGGTGAAGCGGTTCATACTAAGGTCGAGGAAAGCTAACTCGGTGAGCGTTTCCAGGCCGTTGGGGAGAGGGCCCCACATGAAGTTCTGCGAAAGCGACAAATAACGGAGTGATGACGGGAGAGATGACGGTAACGGTCCTGTGAGTTTGTTGTTTTTTAGGTCGAGGTGGAGTAACGGAGACTTAACGGTTTTCGGTAATGTGCCCGATAGAGAGTTGGAAGCGAGGATGAGGATTTTGAGTTGGGGCAAGTCAATGAGACTCGGGGGCAGTGAGCCAGCGAGTTGGTTGCGGCTGAGGTCGAGGGTGTGGAGGCGGCGGAGGGCGGAGAGTGCGGCGGGGATGGGCCCAGTGAGGCGGTTGGAGGGGAGAGAGAGCACGCGGAGGTTGGTGAGTTGGGCCAGTTGGGGAGGGATGGGGCCGGTGACGAGTCCGGGGGAGAGGAGGAGCTGAGTCAAGTCGGTGAGAAGGGAGAGGGAGACAGGGAGGGTGCCGGCGAGGGGGAGAGAGGGACCGCCGAGGGAGAGGGCGGTGACGCGGCCGAGGGAGCAGGTGAGGCCGGCGAAGGTGGTGCAGGGGTCGGGGTCGGGGGCGGTGAGGTTCCAGGTGGAGAAGAAGGGGTTGGAGGGAGAGAGGTCGGTGAGGGTGTTTTTGATGGAGAGAAGGGCGTTTAGGTCGATTGGGTGGAGATTTTGGGGGAGAGAGAGGGATGGGGGAATGAGAAGAAGGTGAAGAATAAGAAGAAGAGTGTCCATTGGTTGGTTCAATTCAAGAGTTTCAGTGAGTGAGTGAATGGCTTTGAGAGCGAAGGTGAGGGAGGTGCGAGAGTTGATTAAGTGTTCAGAAGAGGAGACGGAGAAAAGGACAGAGCAGAGCTTTTTGAGCTTAGGATTGATTTTAAACATCTCCTTTCACTTTAAATGGTCGGTAGTCATTACTCGCTTAGTTTTAAACAACGTTGCTCCGTATTTTGTGTAAATATTTTTTAATTTATTAAAATAGACCAATTTAAAAAATTTATAAATTAACATATTCGATTTAATTTTTTTAAAATATGTTAGATAAAATAAATAATAATAATTAATTTAAAATATTATTAAAATTAATATTTATTTTATTAATATTATTTTATTATTAATACTAAAATAGAAATAATACTATTAAACCTAATATAATTCTTAATATGAATAATAAGATAATTATATTAATAATTATAATTTTATTATTTAATTATTATAATTATTTTAATATTATTATTAATATTATTATTAATAAAATAATATTAATAATGAATGATTATTAATAAAATTATTATTATTACATATAATAATTATTCATATATATATATATATATATATATATATATATATATATATATATATAACAATAACAATTAAATTTATATCATTAATAACTATTATTATTTTGATCTATATTAATACTAAGAATTTTATAATATAAATTTATTATTACTAATTTTATGAATAATAATATAAATAAAATAATATTAATACTAAGATAATTATATTAATAATTATAGTTCTCTTATTTATTATTATTATTATTATTTTAATTTAATAATAATAAATTAATATTAAATTGATTGATTATTAATAAAATTAAAAGTAATATTAATAATGAATGATTATAAGTAAAACTATATTGTTATTAATAAATAATAACAATAATAAATATATAAATAAATAATAAAATTATTATCATTAATATAATTATCTTATTATTGATATTAGTTTTATTTTATATAATTATAAGTATATTATTATTATTATTATTATTATTATTATTATTCTATTATTAATAATAAAATTAAAATAATATTAATAATATAATAATACTAATAGTTTTAATTATATTATTTCTTAATAATAATATTATTATAGTATTAATAATAATATAATATTAATAAAAATAATAAAATAATTAATAATTTTAATAATAATATAAATTTAATTATTATTATTTATTTTATTATTATTAATATAAATTATATTATTATAATAATATAAAGTATATTATTTAATCATTATAATATAAAAGTAGAAGTCCTAGACAGTACGTAAATTTATATACAAGCACGACTTTTTTTAACTAAAATTAAAATTGTGCACTTTAACATGATAAAATAATGGACTTACCTAAATTTATATTTTTTTAAATTTATATAGTTTGTTAATTAATTTAAAAAAAATGCACTAACTAAGTAAAAAAAAAAAAAAAACCTCCACTTTCCTTTTTATGGACAACTTTTTAAAGAATTTTTACTATTATGTTAATTTTAAAAAATGCACTAATTACGTAAAAAAGCCTCCCTTTTCTTTTGAATGGACATATTATTTCCAAATTTTTATTATAAGAAAAATTACTATAAATATGTTAAAGAAAAAATTGTTACACGTATTAAACTTAATTATGTAATATTATTTATTTATCTACTATGATTTATAAACACATCCACCACATAAGATTTATCTTAGTTAATGTTAAAGTAGAAATAATCTTTAAAGAAGCATACAACATAGAGTTAGTCAAACTCTCATAACCTAGCATCACACTAAATATTGTTGATAGAAATAAATAATGTATCTTATATCAAAGTTATGATCACATTATTGAACAATGCCAAAAAATTTCAAGAGAATTATAAGACTTAATCCGAAAAAGATCTTTAGATCATTTTGTGTGAGGAGTTAATAAAGAGTGAACAAAAGATAAATTTTATGGTAGAGGATGTGGATGATATAATGGTACCAGATATGCATAGGTAAAAAATAACGCCGACCATGGAGTAGGAGGTGTGATAAACACCTCTATTGGTGTTTTTGTAGGAGGATTAAGCACAAACTAAGCTCGGAAGATGAACTTGAGAGCAATGCATAGAGTCAGCATAGCATTGTCTTATTCTCAAGAACACTCCCCCTATGACATTCATTGATGCAAATATTATCCCACATGATCAATGGTTATCACAATGTGTTTTTTTAATCAATTTTCATGAAATCGGATGTATCACATGACTTGATCATATCCAAACCCTTTATCAGAGTTTGTTGGAGAGCACATTCATACTTGGGGATATATCAACCTCCTAATAAATTTTGGTGTTTTGGAGGTAAAGCAAGAGCATTATGGTTTGCTACATCCTTGTGAAAGTGGACAATTCATACAATGTGCTCATTGGACAAAGAACCATGCACTAATTAGGAACCATTGTGTTGTGTCCACACCATATATGTCTATGAAGTTTCTAATGGAAGGTGGTATTGTTTACACTATCAAAGTAGTTTCAATAGAAACCTAAGATGGTTATGTATCAAGTTTAAAGGTACAACCATACATAATAAACATCCACTACAAGAAATGACAACATTTTCAAAGGATAATTTTTTATGGACCGTAACTCGTCAAAAATGACAAAATTAGCAAAGAACTTCATAGACAAAAAGATCTCCTTTGAAAAAATAGCATTACCAATGGATATATTTATCGGTAAATAACAATGCATTACTGACAGTCACTATCTATCGGAAAAATTGATATGTTGAGGTAGAAATACTTATAAAGACTATTTTTCGATGAATTTCCCAACAAAAAGGATATTTGTCAATAATGATATTTTGGACCATCAATAAATTTGAATTTATAATAAAAGAACTTGTATATTTTTTCTTCTCACTTTGTGCCCACTTTCTTTATACCTTATTCTCTTCGAAACAAAAGGCTTAAAGCGTGTCCAACCTCCCCATCCCCCAATTTATGATCTAACTTGATAAATCTTCCTAAATCATTCACAATCCCCAAAAAATTTATTCAATACAAACATTTGTTACCTTCACCTAGGGTATTGTCGAGGAGAATTAAAATTCAAAAGAATTAATAAGGGTGAACAGTGCATTCATTGCAAAAGGTAAGTTTGCATTCTCACATTGTTATTTTCATTTGTTTTTTCGTGGTATTGTTTTTGTATGTTCTTCATGAGCAATAAGGTTAAGGGAGGATGTGAACATTGGTTCTCTCATCCTTTTCTCATGTTTGATGGGTTAGTTGTTATGATATTAAATTTTGCTTGAGTTAATTGATTGGTTTAATTTTTCCTCATTCACAAGTTTTTTTTTTGGTTTTTTGCTTGGATTGTTTTTATCTTCTATTTGGGAATCTAATGATGTGTCATCCCATGTTCATAATTTTTTCTTTTAGAACAAATACTCTAGTTGTGCCAACTTGAATTGCTCCTACAGTGAACATAATTGTGAATATTTTGGGAACCCTCCCCATCCCCCGATTTGTTTCTAATTAACTCAATCATGCTAACTTTTCCTCTAATAGGCAATTTAGAACCACTTTGTAGAAATTAATTAAGAACCATTAACATATCAATTTAATGTAATGCTAAATTCTAGCTTAATGTTGTTGTAGATGGGTGAATAATATATTCTGAAATGGGTTCTTGTTTTATATAAGTAAAGTATTCCATTATTGTTCAAACCATTTGTAGTGGAGTAGAGTGTAGATGATTCATAAGACAATGTTTCAAGTTTGGAAATTTAGATGATAACCCAAACTTAGGAAGTTTTTGCTTTTATTTATGTTGTTTGTTAGTTGTGTTTTTATATTTCATGTGCATAGTAATTTTGCCTTCATATTTAAGGCTTAATTATATATTATGAGGATTTGGGTAGTTTCTATCCTTATATCCTTGAGAAACCATAGTATGACTTGGTTTTCTCTTCCTTGAGAATATGTATTGGTGATGAGTCATTATTTTCCCGCATTTTCTTATCTTTATGTACTTATCTTAATTGGTGCATTGTGTTTAATTGTCTATTATTAGTGCATTTTCATTGATTGGGCTTCATTGGGCCAATAATTTAGATTTTAATTAATTTGAATCTATTTGATATAATTTTTACTCATTATTAATTTTAGGACAGTCACTACTACAAAATATACTTTCTACGTCGTTATTTAACGTCGGTTATAGCTGAGACGACGTAGAAAGTACTTTCCACGTCGGTTCTCAGATGAACCGACGTTGAAATTGAATATTAAACACATTCTACGTCGGTTTTTAGTCAACCGACGTAGAAAGTACTTTCTACGTCGGTTCCCATATGAACCGACGTTGAAAGTCTTTTTTTATTTTATTTTTTACTTACTGATAGCGGTTATAAGGGAACCGCTATCTAAAGTGTATATTAGATAGCGGTTCCCTTATAACCTTTAGAACTATCTAATATGCACTTTAGATAGCGGTTCCCTTATAACCGCTATCTAATATACACTTTAGATAGCGGTTATAAGGGAACAGCTATTATATCCTCTCAATTATGATCGATCATTTCAAGTTATGATCGATCAGAATCTAATTTCGCTCGAGCGAGGGTAGTGTCGCTCAAGCGAAATACAACCCGAGAATGCTAATTTTGTGCAGGGGCGTTTCGCTCGAGCGAGAAGGATGTCGCTCAAGCGAGATACATTTTAGATAGCGGTTAACCTGGAACCGCTATTATATTGTTTCAATTATGATCGATCAGAATGTAGTTATGACCGATCGGAACTATTTTAATCGATTAAATCTCGTTTCAATCGATTACAACAATTCTCGCATGACGTTTTAATCGATTAAAACTTATTTTTATCAGCTTAAAATTACTTGAAAAGTGTCACGAGAAAGTTTTGCAAGTATTTCAATCGATTGAATCGCGAAACAATCGATTAAATCAACTTAGAAGATTTTTTGTAAAGTGTTTTAATTGATATAAACGTTGTCGTATCGGTTAAAACAAATCTGTTAAAGAATCAAAAACGTATTAATGGATTAAAAGAAGTTTTAACAGATTAAAACTGCACTTTTAACAGATTAAAAGAATCTTTTAACAGATTAATT